GAAAGCCTTAGTATTATTAAGATCAGGGGCTGGGAAGGTGGCTAAGTGTAGAGTGCTTGCCTTGCATTATTAAGATAAGTGTATCTTTTGGAATTCCAATTAATAGCTTAACAATATATTTTATAGAGATTAAGAAACTGATTATAAAATACACGTGAAAAGGCTAACACATATAATAACAATTTTCACAATTCATTTGGAGGGTGCCTATTTACTCGATTTAAGCTGTAGCAATTAAGACAGTGTGATATTGGGAAGAGGACTGCCCAGAACTAGATTCACATCAGTAAGATCAATAGAAAAAAAGACACTCTTTTCAGTAGTTGGTACTAAATAACTGATTATTACTCTGAAAAAACACAAACCTCCATTACTGTGGTAATGGGAAGTAGTAATACAGTAACTAATGTAAACTATGAAATATCTAAGGGAAACAATGGAAAGGAATCTTTGTAACTGCGCTGTAGGCAATGAATTTTTCTTAGGTTCAACATGAAAAATACTCATAAACTTAGGAGAAATCATTAAGTTTGACTTAATCAAGTTTCTCATCTTTTGAAAAGACTAAAAAATATATTTCAGCAGGATGAAGTGAACAGCTATCTTATATGACACAAAAAAGTACTTGTAGGGCTGGAAAGGTGGGTCAGTGGTAGTAGTGCTTGCCTTGAATGCATGAGGCCCTGGGTTCAATGCCTCAGCACCACATAAACAGAAAAAGCTGGAAGTGGTGCTTGGCTCAAGTGGTAGAGTGCTAGCCTTGAGCTGAAGAGCTGAGGGACAGCGCCCAGGCCCAGAATTCAGGACCCACGACTGACAAAAAAAAAAGTATTTGCAAATTATGCTCTTGAAAATAGGTTAATAGGTAAAATATGTAAGAAACCCAAACACTTTTTTTTTTTTTTTTGGTCTGGTTGTGGGCCTGAACTCTGAGCCTGGGCGCTGTCCCTCAGCTCTTCAGCTCAAGGCTAGCCCTCTACCACTTGAGCCACAGCACCACTTCCGGCTTTTTTCTTTTTTTGCTTATGTGGTGCTGAGGAATCGAACTCAGGGCCTCATGCATGCAAGGCAAGCGCTCTACCACTGAGCCACCTTCCCAGCCCAAATCCAAGCACTTTGACAGCAAACAAGCAACACTGAAGAATTTAAAAGTAGAACAAAATCCTGAACAAACCTTTCTCAAAAGAAGGCATGCAATGACTGATAGGTGTAGGAAAATTGGTTGTGTATCACTAATCATCAGAGAAATATAAACCAAAGTCATAATTCACCCGAATGCAGGTAGAAAGTTCTCTATCAAAAACTGGAAAGATAAGTGAGGATATGGAGAAAAAATACTTGTCATGATGAAAACCAGAATGGAGATTCTTCAAACAATTAAAAATAAAACTATTGTATGGTCCAGCAAGTTTCAGATACATTTTCAAAGGACAAAGTATCAGTACACATATTGTAGGGACACCTGAATACCAGTATTGCAGCCATATTCAAAATAGCCAAAGGGTAGAATGAGCTGTGTCCCTTATAAAATAAGTGAGTAAAACATGCTATGTATACATGATGGAATATTATTTAGCCTTCAAAAGAAAATTCACCTTGATTTGATTCCATTTGGGTATATCTTCTGCCATCTTTTAGTTTTTGTTGTGTTTTGCTGAGAATATAAATTTTTGTAGGCTTATTACTATGTCTTCACAAAAATCCATTCAATCAGTATATGTATTTGAGGAATTTAGTCATTACATTGAATATTATATTGGTAATTAAAGACATATACCTGCTATTTTGTTATTTTTTTCTTTGGTTGGGTTTAGAGGTCCTCCTCCTCTTCCTTCTCCTTGTTCATCTTCTTGGCTTACTTTGTACAGTTTGATGAATTTCTGCATGGATAAAGTTTATTTTTTCTTTCTTTTTGTGTTGGTACTAGGACTTGAACACAGAACCTCACCTTCTTCCTTAGTTTTTTCCACTTTTCACTCAAGGATGGTGCTATACCACTTGAGCCACAGCTATACTCCTGACTTTGGGCGGGGGGGTTACAACTTGGGCTATTTTTGAATTTAGATCCCCAGATCTCAGCTTCCTGCCTAACTAAGATTACAAGCACAAGTCTCCAGCACCTGGCTGAAGTCTTAATTCTTTTCTCCTTTTCACATCTCCTTTGCTGAAATTCTATGCTCCATATGTTTACATGATGGCAGCTACCATCCTTTCATTCACATTTAGTGTAGGACTCTCATAAACATTTCTTGTCTGGTGGTGGTGAATGGCCTTAGTTTTGGTTTGTTTTGGAAAGTCTTTCATTTCTGAAAGACAGCTTTGTTGGTTGGCAGTTGAGTATTTTATTTTATTTTTTGATTATTTTGTGCCAGTACTGGCGATTGAACTCAGGGTCTCCAACTCTCACTTGGCTCTTGCTCATGGATGGCCCTTTACCACTTGAGCTTTCCAAGTCATTCTTCCAATACTTTGAATATATCATCTCATTCTTTCCTGCCCTGATTAGTTTTTGCTGGGAAAGCTGTTATTGGTATGATGGAGATTCCCTTAAATATGAACTGACACGTTTGTTGGTTGTTTTAAAATTCTCTTTTGTTTTTTACTTTTTTCTTTTTCCCTTATCTTTGTCTTCACTCCTTCACCTCCCTCCTTTACCTGTCCCATCGGTTGATTGATTGCTGGTACCAGGGCTTGAATTCAGTGCTTCCTGCTCACTACACTTGCTTGCCTGCTCATGGGTGGAGCTCTCCCACTTGAGCCATACTTCCAATGGTGCTATTAACTGGTTATTTTGGTTATTATAGAATCTCACAGATTTTTCTGCCTGGCTTTGAACCTCAATCCTCTAGATCTCAGCCTCTTAAATCGCTAGCTATAAGCATAAGCCATCAACACTGACTTCTTTTTCAAGCACTTTATCAATATCTCTTTCCTTAGAGTTTATTTCTGGAGAGTTGTTGTGTCAGAATACCTTGCTTCTGTTCCTGCATTTCTATTTGCACATCTGTCAGATGTGCCTGTACCAGTTTTGTGTAGCGGCCTTCACAGTGGAACTTTGTTCTGGCTGTGTCCTGTTGGTTGGGTCCCCACAGTTGGGGCCCCGAAGTGGTCAGGACTGCACTGTTTATCTTCTTCAGCTATAATCAACCTTGGCCACTAGTGCAGCTTCTTCAGTGATCTCACCAACAAGGATTGTGTGATTACTCTTGCCAGTTGGAGTGCAGATTTGTTACCCTGGGACAGGATGTCCACCAAATTCTAGTGGGGGAATCACATGCACTCTGGGAGGCATTTACAGGCAAGGTATTGCTGTCCTGGCCATCTCCGATGGGTGGCCAGAGTGAAGCCTTCTCAGTAGGCTTTGTAGCAGAGGTGTGGGGCCTTCCAGTGTGAGGCCTAGAATCTAGATGGATGCAGATGTATTTGTAGGGACTTCAGTAGGGCACATGCCTAGAGCTGGCTGCTTAGCTTCCTGGGGTCTTAGGAAGAGGGGACAGGTTTGCCAGGTGGCCTCTCTGGTCCTTGGCAGGAAGAGAATGCACATGGGCACTGTGCTGCTACTTGGGAGCTGCAGAAGCAGGGCAGGCTGCATCCCAGGGCTCACTGTGGGTGGATACAGTCCCCAAAGTGCTTGCAAGCCAGGCCATCTTGCCCTCTCCCGACCCCCTTCACAGTACCCCAGGCGAGTTGGAGTTTCCAGACGCCATCAGTGATGAAGGGTACAGTGTGGATGGGCTTTTCCTCTGAGGCAGTGCTGGTGTGCAGATCTGCTAGCTTCCCAAAGGCCATCTTGACTCAGGATTTATCTTGACTGGACAGATGGTACATAAAAGGCCTGTCATGACTCTTGTCTCCTGCAAGGCTGGTGTGTGTGTGTGTGTGTGTGTGTGTGTGTGTGTGTGTGTGTGTGTGTGTGTGTGTGTGTGTGCTCTACAGTATCCTTGACATCCTTGTCCTGCTCCAGCATGCTACCCAATCACTCTTCCAGAACGGCTGCAGCTTTTTTCTTGGTTTCGGGCCTTTTTGTTGAGCAAAGTGAACTAGGTACCTCTAGTGAACCATCCCGCTGACATCAGCACATGCATTACTATTTGAGATTCATTTGAAGACATCAATTTCAGGCAGCTTGTTTTGAACACCAGTGTCTTTATTTTGTGACTACTTCACAAAGCTGTGAAGTAGTGAAATCACTCCTATGAGAAACTGTTTTACTTCTCTCTGTAAGAATAACTACTTATTTGTTTATTTGACAATATTAGAGATTGCACTCAAGGACTTGTGCTTGCTAGGTAGCACTGTACCACTTGAGACATGACACAAGTCCATCCATTTGGGGCTGGATTATTTTTGAGGTCCAGTCTTGCTTCATGCCCAGACTAGCCTGGACTGTGATTCTTCCTACTTGTGCATCTCCGGGTCACTGGGGAGGACTGGGAGGAAGGCGGGGGGGGGGGGGTCCTCTGGAGCTGGGATAACAAGTCTGTTATCCAGGAGAACAGCTGGTCATTTCCCCAGCCATTGGTTGAGATGAAATCTCAACTTTTTTTTTTTTTTTTTGATCCTTGATAATCTTGGAATTTGATTCCCTAAACTCTATCTACCAAGTAACTAGGATCACCATGCCCAACAGAGAGGAGCTCTTCTATGTCCATCCAATGAATTCTTGTCATGTTATTTCAAGAAAACGATTTTGATCAAAATGTTTGACTAAAGGTTCCACAGCCAAATATGAGAAGAGCTACCAGAAGTGGTTGGATATGTTTAAAAATCAAGAATTTTAGTATTTTCACAATAAAAAAAAGAATTTCACCAAATTTATTTAAGAAAGTAGAATAACTTCTACTTTGAGACAGTTAAGGACATTTAGGGACAATAACTCATTTTGCTTCAAACTAGGATTTTTTTTATGATATAGATATATCAACAGGAATGTTCATATTTAAGCTTTTTGGTAAAGTTAATTGCAATTGTATGTATTTATTTTATATTTATTTGTTTAGTTACAAGGATCATCCAAACTATGTGGGGGCAACATTTCCTGGAAAGATGTGTGTTTCTCATTATTCTGTAGGAATTGCACAGGTAAGCAATAATTTACTCTTAAAAAAATTAATATATTTAAAATGATGCAACTTGACACCATGTATTTTCTACAGTTTGCATTTAGAAATTTCAATTTGGCTTTTCATTATTACTAAAATTTTGAAGTATGTAGAAAGAAGACTATTTTAGAACAAGTACCTTGTTACAACTAACTGTTTTTGGAAACTAAATTGGAAATAATAGTCTCACAAATAGAATGATGCTTTCCTCAATATGTAAAATAAGGGAAATTATGACAAATTATCTATAAGGAAATTTCTATAATCCAATTAGATTTTTGCTTATAGAAATAAAGTTGGAGAAATATTATTATGGATGAAATAGCTTCAAAATACAAAGAAGCAAAAATTGTGTTACAAATTCCTTAAAAATTTCAGATTTCTTAGAGTATTTAAAAGAAGTTTTTATGTGCACTTTAATCATTTTTCAAATTTACAGGTGTGCTATGTATAAAAATCTATGGTAAAATTAAATACATTATTGCAGATCATGTACCTCTTTGAGTTATTTTCTTATCCTACTAGCATACTTTAAAAATAAGTTTAAGTAATATATTTTAAAAAACTACACAGCAATTTTTGTTATTCATGTAACCTGAGTAGAGATAATCACTATCATTTTGAATGATGGATATTTTCTTCTTTTTCTCCTTCTTTTTTCTCTCTGTTACTCTCACTCTCGCACACAAACTCACATTTTCATTCATTTTTATTGTTATTTCAAAGGTGATGTACAGAGAAGTTACAGTTTCAAAAGTCAGGTAATGGGTACATTTCATTTTTGACAATGTCCCTCCTTCCTTCACTCTCCCAGTTTTTCCCTTCTGTTCCCACCCACAAGTTGTATAGTTCATTTTCAACAGCGTGTCAACTGAGTACCACTGCAGTCTTTGTTCACCCTTTGTCCCTCCATTTTCATGTCTTCCCCACTCATTCTTGCAAAGGCAGATAATGAACAAACAAGACAAAAAGGAAAGAAAACAAAACTAATAATAAAGAAAAATACTTTTGTTTCCATTTCCTAGAGTTCATTTTGATAAATACTGTTTTATACATCAGTGGCATTGTTCCTTTCTGTTCCTCCCCTAAGAATAATATCCTCCTCTAGTCTCATTTCGTATGAATACCTAGAGTCCTATATAATTTATCATCTATCCTATTTTAGATCTAGCTTCCAAATATGAGAGAAAGCACGCAAATTTTGTATCTCTTGAGCTTGACTTATCTTACTTAACATGATTTATTCTAGGTCCATCCATTTCCCTGCAAATGACATAGTGTTATCCTTTCTTTCTTTCTTTCTTTTTTTTTGGGGGGGGGGGTTCGGTCGTGGGGCCTGAACTCTGGGTCTGGGCTCTGTCCCTCAGCTCTTCAGCTTAAGGCTAGCACTCTATCACTGGAGCCACAGTACCACTTCCGGCTTTTTTCTTTTTTCTTATGTGGTGCTGAGGAATCAAACCCAGGGCCTCAGGCATGCAAGGCAAGCGCTCTACCACTGAGCCACCTTCCCAGCCCCGAGTGTTATCCTTTCTAATGGTGTAAAATTCCATTGTGTGTGTGTGTGTGTGTGTGTGTCATATCACATTTTTTGGATCCATTTATCTATTGTAGGACATCTGGGCTGTTTCCATAATGTGGTTAATGTGAATAATGCCGCAATGAACATGGATGACACATACTTACTTTGTTTGCAGTACTGTGGATTGAACCCAGGACCTTGAGTATGAGACTATCTCTTGAGCCATGCTCCCCAATCTATTTTTATTTTGAGATTCCATCTTATTTAAGTAATTGGCCAACAATCAGAATTCGAGCAACAAGTGCTGGCAAGGATGTGTGTGTGGGGGGAAAGGACCCCTATTACACTTTTGGTGGGAATGTAAACTAGTACAATTACTCTGGATGATGGTTTGGAAATTTCTCCAAAAAGTAAACATACCACTTCCCTAAGATCCAGCCATACCACTCTTGGGAATCTATCCAGAACATTACAAGTCGGTAAAGACACTTACACATCCATGTTCATTGCTGTACTATTCACAATAGCCAAGTTATGGAAACAGCCCAGATGCCCTACAATGGAAGACTGGATCAAGAAAATGTGGTATGTATACACAATAGAATGTTACTTATGCATTAGAAAGGATATTATGTCATTTACAGGGAAATGGATGAACCTAGAACAAATCATGCCAAGCAAAATAAACCAGGCTCACAGAGACAAATGCACATGTTTTCTCTCATATGTGGAACTCATCTGAACAACTAAATTACTAAAAAAAAATACCAGAAAATAGAAACATTTTTTGGGGGGGTGCATAAAGGGGACACAGGAATGGAGGAAAGAAGGGTGAGTAAAAGCAGATCAATGTGTGTTTTGTTAAAAATGAACTGTGTAACTTGTGTGTAGGGAGGAATGAGTAGGGGAAAATGGGAGAGATCAATGGAAAGGGTGAAATTGACCAAAGTGCACTATACTCATAACATGACTTAGGAAATTGTAACCCCTTTGTACAAGTACTTAATAATAACAACTTTTGTCTTCATGAAAAATGTGTAGTTTGTATAGTTAACGTTAGCTATCTGAGCTCTTTATAGGTGCTTATAGCTTGGCATGGACTTAAAATGCTCTCTCAATAAAATTTCATAAGGGTATCAGTTTCTCACCTGTCCAAGGAACCATAGCTCACTTTCCTCAATATTTGATACAAAAGAAAAAATGATTTAGAATGAAAACATGATTTTGAGCCACTACTTAATGAAATAGCTTTCCTTTGCAATGTCTTTGTTGTTATAGTATTCCAGGGAAATGACTTTGGAGGCGTTTTCAGTCACTGTCACCCAGATGCTGGGGATCAATCTGGGAATATCATACGATGACCCACAGAAATGCCACTGCTCAGAAGCTGTGTGTGTGATGAGTCCAAAGGCTGTGTAAGTTTTAAAACACTGTTTATTTACTGGTCATATTTATTCTACTTTAAATGTAGTTAAGCCAAGATCAATAAAGAGCTTTAAAAATGTTAGCAAGTCCTAACAAGTGGGATTTTTTTTTTTTGGACAGGACTTTTAGATTTTAGGTTAGTTTGATTTCAAGTATACAATTTAAAATATACAATACACAATATTTGCATGACTTTGATCAAATCATTCAATGTTGATTATATTTACATTTCTCATATTAAAATGGGAAATAATTATATCTACTTTCTTATTTCAGAAGGCTATGTAAAAGTAAAATGAGAAAGTAAGAACATTTTTTTTCAAACTCTGTATATATGTGATGCATTGTCACTGGTAAACTTCACTGATGTTCCCAAAAGTGCACCAGACAAGAGTTACCCTAGGTGTCATTAGGGTTTTGCAGGTTTTCTATTTATGAAACTATGATAGGTAGAACTCATTCATTACTGAAGAACTATTAAAAGAGTAAATTGGGCGCCAGTGGCTCAGGCCTGTAATCCCAGCTATTCAGGAGGCTGTGATCTGAGGATCCTGATTCAAAGCCAGCCTAGGCAGGAAAGTCTGTAAGACTCTTATCTCCATTAATCACAGAAAAAGCTAGAAGTGGCTCTGTGGCTCAAGTGATAGTGTGCTAGCCTTGAGCAAAAAGAACCCAAGGACAGTGCCCAGGCCCAGAGTATAAGCCCCAGGGAAGGCAAAAAATAAAAAATAAAAAATAATAAATTAAACAGTGAAGCTAAGGAGTTAAGTTTTGGAAAAAAAACTTTTTTTAATTTTAATTTTTTTATTGTGAAAAGACTGTACAGAGGGGTTACAATTACATGGGCAAGATAATGAGTACATTTCTTATCAAGCATTGTAGCCTCCTCCTTTGTTTCCCCTTCCCTTCCCTTCCAAGCCTCCCCCCACCTCCCTATCTAAGCCTCCCCCCCCCACCAAAGTTGTAAAGTTCATTTTGGACACGACAACTTGTACTTCTCATTGTTGCAACGGGTCCACCTGTATCCTTATTTAAACGACTTGGAAAAAAAAAAACTATTTTAAAGCTACTCTCAAGTATCATCATATCATTAAAAACTCTTATGTAATAAAAATAGAACAACCTAAAATCTATACACATATATATACATATTTATATTAAAATTATTATCATGATCATATTATAGAAGCACATACACACATGCAAGTATATATGTTATATATATTATATGTACCATATGTATTATTCACTTTGATAGGTAAATATATTTATATATTCATATACTTACATATAAATATATTTCATGTACTTCATATACATATACATTTTTTTCTTTATGACATAACTTAAAAACATCAGTTACTGCTCATTGTGCATTTGGCCAATTGTTCATAAGTATGCTTTGAACAAGGTGTTTTGTGTAAGTCCTAGAGTTTAGCATAGACAACGCATAAGTATTTAATTGTCCTCACTGTATTGTAGAGGACATTTAGGTTAAATTTTACTATTGGTGTGTAGTGAATTTTGTTTTATTAAGGTCATATATTCCATTGAATTAAATTACATGGCCCACTCAAAAATGATTATGAGCACTTCTAGGGAGCATTCGTTGTTATGTATTAAGCTCAACAGTTTGAAATTATTATTCAGTATACAACCATGTTTCTAGAAGTATGATACCAGTGACATTATATGGATTTATTTTTAGACAGTCCAGTGTTCTGAAGACTTTCAGCAATTGCAGTCTGCGTGACTTTCAAGCTTTTATTTCAAATATGGGTTCCAAATGTCTTCAGAATAAGCCACAATTGCAAGTGAGAAACACAGCAGTCTGTGGCAATGGCAAAGTGGAGGGAGATGAAATTTGTGACTGTGGTACTGCAGAAGTAAGTCTGATAATTAGGAAAAAAATTAAAACAGATTTCTTGTTTTAGTTGATCTCTTTTGCATGAATGTTAGAGATGTACAATATAGCCAAATGTTACATAGAATACTAACTGAAACAGGTTGAAGTGCACAGAAGGGAAAATCCTGTCTAGGTTTTATAGTTTAAACTTTGAATAAGTTTAAGATGTCCAGCCAATTTTATTGATGTTGAGTAAAAAAGCATCTAGAATCAGCTTATGAATTCACGCTAAATAGATGGTATTTCTAAATCTTTGCTTAACCTTGGATTTATTACAAATATCGTTTGATGATTAATCTGTTAGTAGCACAATGAAATGAACTCCAAAGAAGGCAGCAAAGTACACCCTTTTTAAGTGTACAATTTATGAATTTGACATGTACTGATAATTTATTGGTATGATGAGTTATAGGTTTTTTTACATCATCACCTCTCTGTAGTCTTTCTCATTTCTACTCCTCTACATGAAACTTCTGATTCTGTCAGTTTTCTATAACCTACAAAATCACTTAAATAGAGTAATGCAATATGCATTTTTTTCTCCTAATGATATTTCTTTGTAAAAGAAAAATCACATATGTCTACAGTTTTAGTGGATTTCATTATTCTGTACTCACACATGTACTGTACTTTGATCATATTCTCCCGCTAGCATGTGCTCCTTCCCCTCCCTCGCCTACTGGCTCTCCCACAAAGCACACCCTTTTTTACCTTCATGTCCTTTTTGTTTCGTTTTGAATTTTTAGTTACCTATTCTATATATGGGAGAATGAATTTATCTTTTTGAATCTGGCTTAGTTTGCTTACATGGATCAGCCCAGTTCCATTCATTTTCTTGGATACAGTATGATTTTGTTCTTTGTATTTTTTTAACCATTAAATAATACCCCATATTATACATCTACTACATTTTCCTTATCCATTCATGTGTAGATGGGCACCCAGTTGGATTCTGTAGCTTGGCCGTTTATTAATAGTGCTGAGAGAAGCACTATTGTGTGTGGACTTACATTCTTTTGAATGTATACTAAGGAGTGGTAGAGTAGGATCATCCAGGAATTCTGTTTTTGTTTTTTTTGAGGAACCTCTATACTGAATTCCATAGTGGCTGCACTAATTTACTTTCCCACCCACAGTGTCTAGGGGATCTTTTTCTCTCACAGCCTCATCACTGTTGGTTGTAGTTTATGTCTTAATGAGAGCCATTCTGACTAGAGTGAAATAGAATCTCAATACCAGTTTGCTTTGCATTTCTTTTATGGCTAAGCATATTGAACACTTGTTATTTCTTTTGAGAATTGTTTAATTCACTTGCCCATTTATTAATTGAATCATTGTTTTGGAATTTCATTTTTTAGCTCTTTATATATTCTGAATATTAATCTCTATCTGATGAATGGCTTGCAAAGATTTTCTCCCATATTGCTAGTTTCCTCATCAATCTGATAATTGTTTTCTTTGTTGAACAAAAAGGGTTTTTTGTTTGTTTTTTTTCTTTTGCAGAGCTGAGGACTGAACTCAGACCTTGCCAGGAAAGTGCTCTTCCATTGAGCTAAATCTCCAACTCTCAAAAGTGTGGTTTTTTTTTCCTCCAAAAGTTCTTTTTAAATTAATGTAATATTATTTGTCAATTCTTGCTCTTGGTTCCTAAGCTACTGGAATCCTATTTAGAAAGTTGTTGCCTATATATTCACATTTCCTTTATGTTTTCTTGTGTTTGTTTCAAAGTTTCTAGTCATACTTAGAAGTCTATGATTGATTGTGAATTGATTTTTGTACTTTTAGTCTTCTACATTGGATATTCAATGTTTTCTAGCATTGTTGAAAAGTCTGTCTTCTCCAATGTATTTTTGGCACATTTATTTCCTTCTTTATGTCCCTCCCTCCCTCCTTCCCTCCCTCCCTTCTTGCCTTCCTGCCTTTTTTTTTTTTTTCTGGTGCCATTCCTAGGGCTTGAATTCATGGCCTAGGTGCTGTCTTCAAGCTTTTGTGCTCAAGGCTATAGCACTTTACCGCTTGAGCCACAGCTCTACTTAAAGCTTTTCCATGGTTAACCATGGAGATAAGAGTCTCATGGACTTTGCTGCTTGGGCAGGCATTTGAACAATGATCCTCAGATCTCAGCTTCCAGAGTAGCTAGGATTACAGGCATGAGAAACTGGTGCCTAGTGTGGCACATTTGCTTCTTGTCTGAGACTGTTGAATGTTTTTTCCTATGTTTATTGGTCATTAATACCCCTTCTTGGGAAACTATTAAATTTGCTAGTTTATTAGTTGGGTTATTTATTATTTTGATGTTTACTTTTTCCTGAACTCTGTATATTTTGGATTTTAATTGACTGTCAGATGAATAGCTAGACAGTTTTTTCTCTTACTCTGTGAGCTGTCTTATCTTTCTGATAATTACCTCTCTGATGTAAAGAAATCTTTTAATTTGATGCGATTTCAGTTGTTAATTATGGCTCTAATTTCCTGAGGCATAACCAACCATTCAATTAAAAAATAGTTTTCTGTTCAAATATATTTGAGTTTTCAGGTCATATATTAAGATCTTTAATCCATTTTGAATTGGTTTTTGTACAGGGTAAGAGACAAGTGTTTAATTTTGTATATATGGATGTCCAGTTTTCCCAGCACCATGTATTGAAGAGATTGTACTTTCTCCAGTGTCTATGCTTGGCCCCTTGGCAAGAATCAGATAGCTGTAATTTTGTGGGCTTACTTCTGAGCTCTGAATTCCATTGCATTGGTCTCTAAGTCTTGTTTGTGTGCCAGTACAATATGGTTTTTTTCACTATGGTTTTGTTATATGGTTTGAGGTCAGGTATTGTGATTCCTACTCTTTATTTCCCTTCAGTATTAGCTTTTGTGCTTCTAGATATAAAGAACCAATACTAGTGTTTGAACTCAGAGTTCCGTTGCTAGACAAACAGCCACTATTTGGGCTCTATCCCTTTTTGCTTTAGTTATTTTTCAAATAGTGTCTCACTCATTATTCCCAGACTAACCTTGGACTATGTCTCTCCTATCTTCATCTCCTCATAGATGAGATTACAGAAGTGACCCACCACTACCAGTTAGTTTGTTGAGAATGTGAGGGTCTCACTAACTTTTTGTCTCTCTTGGCCTCAAATTGTGGTCTTCCTGTTTTCCTTTACAAGAAACTGGGATTACAGGCATGAGCCATCATACCTGGTGGAGTCTGTTTCTTTCGATTAGAGAACTGAGACCATTAGGAGTCATTATTGGAATTTGCCTTGTGAACATTAAAATGTGTTTATGACTCTAAGTATCACTATTCCACAATACTGTGAAATATGTGAAATTTATGTAAACTCCTAATCTCAAAGAAAAATGTGAGAGAAGGGATGGGTTAAGAGAGATGGGTGACAATGTTGTCAGACACTTTGTACTCATATACTGTTTTGTAGATTGACAACTTCTTTGTACAACTACTTAAAGATTAAAAAAAAACTTGAAAAAGAGTCATTATTGAAAGGCATGGAAATTTCCTATGATTTTGTTGTTTTTGTAGTGTTTCATTCTTTCCTAATCCTCATTTGCTTATTTACTTACCTGGTGAGATTTATTTTTCTACTAATTCTGTAGCTGTGTTTATCTTTTTGTGCATGTAAGATTCCTGTAGTTTTCTTCTGCCATGATGTTTTATGTACATGAATTCCTTTTATGTACATGTTTATCATGGAAGATTTTCTTTTTAAATCTAGCTTTGGTAGATAATCTAGGTTGGCAATTTTTTTTCTTTCAGGGTTTAAAATACTCCATCCCCTCCTTCCTTGCTTTTTATAGTTTCTGTTGAGAAGTCTACTGTTAGTCTATTGGTTTACTTTTTTTGCCTTTAAAAATATATATTTATTATCTTTAAGTCATTGTACAAAGGGGTTACTATTCAACAAACCAGTTTATAAGTAAAATATGTATGATTGACGTTACACTTTTCATCATTGTTTCCCAGCCCTCCAATGCAATCCCTCTTTTTACATTGTTTTTTCATACCTCGCTTTCTAGAAGCACTGAACTCATCTGGTATAGACTCATATGTGATCAAGTTCATAGAAAGAATGGGACAACAGGGGAGAGGCAAGTCCTTCACAAACAACCCAATGAAAAGAAGCCATGTATTTGAAACTTTCATAAAACTGTTATAAATAATGGGAAAGAAAGTAAATCTTAAGTGACTATGGCAACTATTGGGTCATTTATTATATTTCAAGTTACAATGACAGCAAAGGTTAATTGCTTAGTTCTTAGAAATACACCAACAAGCTTAAATTTGTTAAGTGCCACAAGCAGGTACTTTTGCCTTTCTAACAGACTAGAAGCACTTACTACTGTTCTGCATATAGTATGTGATACATGAATTCAGGCAGAATGGGTTTACTTTTATATATACCTTGATGCTTGTCTCTTGTAACTTTCAATATTCTTCCTGTAGCCAATATATGTCATCTTTTAACTTTATAATATGACATGGAGATTTTTTTTCTGGTCTTTTGTTTGGTGGTCTGTATCCTATATCTAGATGACTGTCTCTCAGTAGTTGGCAAATTTTCTTTTTTTTTTTTCCTTGTTGGTTGTGTGTTCTGTTCCTTTATCTTGTACCTCTTCATGCTCACTATTCTTAGGTTTACTTTAATAGTAATCCAGAAATCTTGGAGGTCTTCTCAGTTCCTTTGGTCTCTCCTTTGTCTTTATCCGAATGTTCAAATTAATTTTCCTTCTCTTTGAACTCTGATATTTTATCTTCGTCTTTACCCAGTGAATCAATGAGGCTTTTGGCAGGTTTTTTTTTTTTTTTTTAAATTAGACTTACTGAGCTTTCCATCTCCAACATTTTGATTTGATTTATTTATTTCTATTTATTTATTAGGCCATTTCTATATCAAGGAGTTTCTCACTCTGAAAGCAGTTGTAGACTGGGGAAATTATGTGATTCACTGGTCCCAGTCTTCCTTAGAG